GAAAGAAAACGTCTAGTATACCATAAGGACATTTTTTGTACAACATTTAAGGAATCTCTATTTTCATAAGCGCGTGACAAGGCATCAGGGACACAGTGGAATTTCCCTTTTCTATGAATAATCTCAAAATCGTATTCCTGAAGGGACAATGCCCATCTGGCTAACCTACCCGTAGGATTTTTGAAATTATTCAACCACTTTAAACTACTGTGATCTGAGATAATAGTAAAATGATATCCCTCTAAATAGGCACGAAACTTTTCAATTCCCCACACTACAGCGAGACATTCCTGTTCTGTAGTAGTGTAGTTTCTTTCACTTTCTGATAATGATCTACTTGCATAGGATATAACATTCTCTTTATTATCGATCATCTGTGTTAGGACAACTCCAATACCTGTACCGCTGGCATCGGTTTGTAGAACGAAAGGGACACTAAAATTTGGAGGAGACAAAATAAGAAAACTTAATTTTTCAAAAAAAAACTCGAGACAAAATAGGAGCTTCAACTAAATGTTTCTTAATTTGATCAAAGGACGATTGCTGTTCTTCTTGCCATGATTAACGTTCCTTTTTCTTTAAAAGTTTATTCAATGGAGCCGAAATGGTAGCAAAATTATCAAAGAACTTTCTATATTACGAAGACATCCCAATAAACCGACGCAACTCCTTGACGTTTTTAGGGGTTGGAAAATCAACAATTGGAGCAATTTTGTCAGGATCAATACTACGTAATTTTTGTAAAATTGATTCCATTTTTGGAAGAGGATACGCATCAGGTTTAGTAGCCTTATTCAATTTTCTGAAATCAAGGCAAAATCTGTAGATTCCATCAGGCTTTCTCACCATAACGATTGGGTTGGACCAACCACTTTCCGATGGTTCGACTACATCATCAGCTATCATTTCATCTAAATCATTATAAATGGCTTCTTGAACTTTTGGGGAAACCATGTAATGTCTCTGTTTGATCGGGGGGTAATTTTTCCACATTAATGACATGCTCTGTCAAATTGTCAGACCTGGTTTACCAGTATTTTCCGGTAAATTTTCGCTAAGAAATTTTTGGAGAGCGTCTGTCTGTCCAATCGACAGTTCACATAAACCATTACATAAATCGGGATCTCCGTCTTTCAAATTAAATTCGTATTCTTCAAAAGGATTGTCAGAAAAACTCCAAACTTTACTGCGCCATAATTAATATTAATTTTGAAACTTTGAAGAAAATCTAGGCCGACAATAAATGGGACTGATAACGATGGTATAATTTTAAAATTTATCGGTCAGCCTTTCTTTTTAAGAGTAACAGGGATATTAACTTCTTGCGAGACTAATTTAATATTTCCATTAGCGACTTGTATAAAACTATTATTATTTTTAATATCGAGATTCAATTTCTTTATCAATTCTAATTCTTCTGCTCTAATAAAAGATCTAGAAGCACCACTATCGACTAGCGCTTGAACGGTATTACCTAGAATATTAATTTTTACAAACAATAATGGCTCAGATTTAGAATCGCTTCTTTGTTTATAATTAATTTCAGAAACATTAAAAATAGGAATCGAATTATTATTAGGATTAATTTTAAATTCAATATTCTAAGCGGATTTAGCTGGGTCTAAAATTTCAAAATTTAAATTATTAGTTATTTTAAAAACTTCTTCGTTTTTAATATAATATTTACTACATTCACAATAAATACTTACATCTAAATTTTTGGATTTGTAAACTCCTTTAAATTCGGATAAATCGCTATTAGAATCTAAGTATTTAATTTCAACTAAATCTAAAAGTTTCGGATTATTTTCAATCAAGTGAGGACCATCAGGTTTGACAACATTAGAGGGCTTATTGAGATTCGAAAGAGGCATATTTGCCCTAATGAACGTCTCTTTAATTAGTTTCCCGAACATTTGGGACAATTAGGACGGGTAACATCCTTCTTTCCACATTTGAAACAAAATATGACTCGAGGTTCCAGGCAAACATCATATCTATGACCTGGACCGTCACAGTTCCAACAAATAAGTGATTTGGATGGGTTTTTGGTTAAATTTTGATCTGATTTAGTAATGAAAGGATTAGTCGAAACTTTATTTTTATCGGATTTATTTGAATTATTCAAATTGTTAGATTTATTACTAATATTTGGATTTGACTGGGCATTTTGATGATTAACCTTTTGTTGCTTGGTTTCTTTAACTGAAAGAACATTCTCAATCAAATCTTTGGAACTCGTATTGACATTTAGATCGCATTCGTCAAGTAAAGAAATTAATTCTCTAGCCCCTCTGTGTTTGGAACGAGCTGGTTCCTTATATGCCAGATCTGGCAATAGTGATCTTTCTGGAATCGGTGGGGGTTTAAAAGTTTTACTAACAAGGTAACTTTTCTCCACTGAAATAGCAATTTTTTCAAACTGAGACATGTTCTGAATATTATGTCGGGGAATAACCAACTGAAACCTAGGAAGGAGATTGCGATGTAAGAAACTAATTTCTTCATTAGGAGATAATCTAGGGACAACTCGATCAAATAGAGATATTAAGCAAGTGAAGAAATCAGCCACCGGTTCGAATTCTCCCTGGGTTCTTTTATGAATTTCCTGCCGCAGTTCAAATTGAAAGTCGGCGTCACCGAAGCGTGATCTAAAATATTCGGAAAATTCTTGAAAATTTCTCCAAATACCTCGCATCCCATGATACCAATTTAAGGGCAATCCCAGAAAGAAAGAAAGGAAGGACTTGAATAATTATAGAATCATCAACTGGAACTATTGATCGTCCATCTTCAATTTTTAAAATAAATGCCTCAGGATCCTCTAATTTAGTGCCAGAAAACCTTAAACCCCATTTTCTCATGGTTTCAAAAGCTTGAGATGCTGTTACGGAACAATCCTGTCTACTACAATTATAACAATTAAATCTTCTAGCATCATTATAGTTTCGAAATTGATTGCTGTCTCGAAATTGATAATTATATCGAAATTGATTGTCTCCACATTGATTAGAATCTCGAAATTGATTAGAATCTCGAAATTGATAAGAGTCTCGAAGTTGATTGTAGTCTCGAAATTGACTATAACCTCGGAATTGACTATTATCTCGAAATTGATTGTCTCGGAACTGACTATTATTTCGAAATTCATTATCTCAAAATTGACTATTATCTCGAAATTGATTGTCTCGGAACTGACTATTATTTACAAATTGATTATCTCGGAATTGACTATTTTCTGGAAATTGATTATTTTGAAATTGATTATTATCTCGAAATTGGCTATTTTCTCGAAATTGATTATCTCGGAATTGACTATTGTCTCGAAATTGACTATTTTCTCGAAATTGATTATCTCAGAATTGACTATTGTCTCGAAATTGATTATCTCGAAATTGACTATTTTCTCGAAATTGATTATCTCGAAATTGACTATTGTCTTGAAATTTATTGTTTTTTCTCAATTGATTTTCTCGGAATTGACTATTGTCTCGAAATTTATTGTCACGGAATTCATAATTTCGGAATTTATTGTCATAGAATTTCTTGTCTTGAATTTGATTATCACGAAATTGATTGTTGTCTCGAAATTCATTGTCTCGAATTTGATTGTCACGAAATTGATTGTTATCTCGAAATTCATTGTCTCGAATTAGATTCTCACGGAATTGATTATTATCTTGAAATTCATTATTACCTCGAAATTCATTTTCTCGAATTTGATTCTCACGGAATTGATTACCACGGAATTGATTATTTTCTCGAAATTCATTGTTATCTCGAAATTCATTTTCTTGAATTTGATTGTCACGGAATTAATTATTATCTCGAAATTCATTTTCTCGAATTTGATTGTCACGAAATTGATTGTTATCTCGAAATTCATTGTCTCGAATTTGATTCTCACGGAATTGATTATTATCTTGAAATTCATTATTACCTCGAAATTCATTTTCTCGAATTTGATTCTCACGGAATTGATTACCACGGAATTGATTATTTTCTCGAAATTCATTGTTATCTCGAAATTCATTTTCTCGAATTTGATTGTCACGGAATTGATTATTATCTCGAAATTCATTTTCTCGAATTTGATTGTCACGGAATTGATTATTATCTCGAAATTCATTTTCTCGAATTTGATTGTCACGAAATTGATTGTTATCTCGAAATTCATTGTCTCGAATTAGATTCTCACGGAATTGATTATTATCTTGAAATTCATTATTACCTCGAAATTCATTTTCTCGAATTTGATTCTCACGGAATTGATTACCACGGAATTGATTATTTTCTCGAAATTCATTGTTATCTCGAAATTCATTTTCTTGAATTTGATTGTCACGGAATTAATTATTATCTCGAAATTCATTTTCTCGAATTTGATTGTCACGAAATTGATTGTTATCTCGAAATTCATTGTCTCGAATTTGATTCTCACGGAATTGATTATTATCTTGAAATTCATTATTACCTCGAAATTCATTTTCTCGAATTTGATTCTCACGGAATTGATTACCACGGAATTGATTATTTTCTCGAAATTCATTGTTATCTCGAAATTCATTTTCTCGAATTTGATTGTCACGGAATTGATTATTATCTCGAAATTCATTTTCTCGAATTTAATTGTCACGGAATTGATTATTATCTCGAAATTCATTTTCTCGAATTTGATTGTCACGGAATTGATTGTTATCTCGAAATTGATTGCCACGCAATTGATTATCACGGAATTGATTATTATCTAGAAATGCATTATCTCGGAATTCATTATCACGAAATTGATATTCTCGAAATTCATTATTGTCTCGAATTTGATTGTCACGAATTTGATGGTCATCTCGAAATTCATTATCTCGAGTTTGAATTTTGATTGTCACGAATTTGATGGTTATCGCGAAATTCATTATCTCGAGTTTGATTGTAACGAATTTGATGGTTATCTCGAAATTCATTATCTCGAGTTTGATTGTCACGAATTTGATTTTTAAAAAAAATCATTTGATTGTTGTTGATTGACTCCGAGGACCAACAGTTATACTATTACGAAGATCTGGGTTGGGGTTAGGAATATTATTAGTAAATTCTGAATTGAAATTTTGACCTACTAAATTATCTTGAAATTCGTGATGCATTTCTAGATTTTGTAATAAATCTCCATCCTGATGATCATTAGAAAAATTACCGATTGAATATTCTAAATGGGAAGAATTGACTAAATTAGGGTCAAAATTTAAGCTATATTATTTTCAGGATTTCTATCAGAATCGTCTTGCATTTGATCGCGTAAAAATTTAGTAATCGATTACGTTTAGCTGCAATTCCACCAACTGCTGTTAACTCACGATTTCTTAATTCATCAGCAAGTTGGACATTGTCTAAATTATAAATCCAAGCAAATGGATCATTCATTTCATTAGCTTCTGCCATTATGAAATCAAAGTTTACTAAATTTAAAAAAAAATTAGGGAACAAATCTAAATAACAGTTTTGATAAGAATCGTTGTTAAAAAGATCAAACAATTTGAACTTTTAGGTTACTTATTATGAATTCAAATTATTGTTATTAGTTTTATAATTGATAATTATAATAATTTAAATTTTATATAAAAAGAAATAATATTTTTTTTAACCTCAAAAAAAAAAAAATAATAATAATAATTGTAAATTAATCCTTTTAAATATTTAGATGTTAATTAGTTTATTGTACCCCCACGTTGGGCGCCAAATCGTAACCGCTTATTTAATTCTTAAATTAGAATAGTTACAAATAGAAGATTTTATTTTATTTTTTTTTATTTAAATAGATCAATATAAATAGTCAGGCGCCAGATCCTCTTAGATCAAATAAAAATTAGAGTTAGAAAACTTGATAAAAAAAATATATGATTGACAACTGAAAATAATCAGGAGCTCAATCAGGCCTAAATTAATAGCCAAAAAAATGACAAATAAGAATTAAATTAATTAATCTTCTAACAATTAAATTTAGCTAGATAATTAATTAATTAGATTTAGCTCTGTCCCGAACTGGATAATAGTAGAGGGGGCAGTTCTTGATTTATTTGAAAAGATTAATAGACGATTAATTTATGAAAACAATTTAGTATTTATTTTAACAATTTAATAATTTCTTGAGGTTATTTTACAAATTTTAAACAATCTTTTATAATTAGTCAATTTAGTTAATGATAAGATTGTTTCATTCCAAGACTTGTCATGAAAAAAATGAATTTGAGTATTAAAGAGGAAAAGATTCTAAATATTTTAAGCGAAATAATTAATGGAAATCCAATTTTGAAATTTATAGAATTAAAATAAAAATATATTTTAATATTTAGAATTTAAATTATAGAAAAGGGATTATGAAAAGATTTTGAAATGTCACTCAACTTTAGCTGCTCAAAATCAAGGAAATCCTTATGAAATCATCGCGAATTCTTCATCCAATAATATCACAAATTGATTATTTGAATAAATTAAATTTTAATTCAATAAATTAAATTAAATTAAATAAATTTTTCAATTTTTAACAATTTTAGGACTTTACTCTAAGGCTGTCACGAAAAGAATAAAAATCTTTTCCTCTTGTTTACTATTTTCCATGGTTACCATGCATTTCAAAATTTAGTAACAATAAAAAAAAGAACTCTACATTTTCAAACAATCGAAATTACAAATCGAAATAATTCAAAATTAAATACATTTAATAAATTATCTTTTCTACTTTTTCTTTTTATATACTCTTTTTTTACGTTAAATTTTAAAGAAAGTCTCTAATTAAATCTTGATTTTAACCAATTTCTTCTGAATTAAATAATGTTCTTATTAATTCGGTCCAATTGATGGTAGATCACCACATTCTCTTCCAGAATTAAGATAATAAAACATAATGACGACTGAAATCCTCAGAACTTGGTCCAATAATGGAATCCAACCATTCCAAAAAGATATAGTCTCAACTGCATAAATAATTCGAAATATGGGCCCATGAGCAATAAGAGTTCCATAGGAAAATGGCGAAGCCTTCCAAGGTTAATTAATTCTTAGATATCACTCCAGGTGACGAAGTCGATATTTAACACAGGACAGAACGGCAACAGGGATAAATTCGGCATTCCATAGAACTAATTGAATCCTTGGGTTCGACCAGAAGAAATTTAAATCAGGAAAAGTAATTTTGTAATATTTGAAACAGGAAAATCCAAAAGTATTCTTCTGAATGGAATTTCAGTTTGGTAATTTCAAGACACAGAAAAAATCCTTAGCAGTATTCTTATTTCTTCAAATTCGTAAAATGTTGACTCGACATACAATTACATAAAAAAATAAATGATAAAAGTTAATTTCCTAAATTTTAAGTTTACATAATTTTGACCAAGATTGATTAATAATATATATTAAATTTAATTTTTTTTTTTTAAATTAACTTAAAAGTTTGAAACAAATAATAAAAATAATAATATTTAAAAAAGATAAAATTTAGTCCCAACCCCCAAAAGATTAAATGGATGTTTAAGACCAATTAAATTAAAATTTAAACTCCTCCCTCTTAATAAAAACTATTTTCTATACGTGTGTTCAATAGAACAAAATGGAGAAAATATCAAACTTTAAAAAATATAAGTCTCAACCCCTAACGAAAAAAAACTGCTATTAGCCAATAAAAAAATCAAACTCCTCCTACATTTTTATTCATTGGTTCAGTTAAACAAAATGGAGAAAAATTTATTATTTAAGAAATAAAACATATAATTCCAACCCCCAAAAAAAATGAATGTTCTAGACCAAGTAATTAATCAAAGCTTTTTTTCTATTTGTTGGTTGTGCTAAACAAAATGGAGAAAAAATGATAATTTATTTTTTATAATTATATTGTAAAAAATTATCATAATATGATTATAATATAATTATTATTTGTAACATTACTTCAAATAATAAAAAATATTGATAATAAATATGAAAATTATATTATTCTTATTATATTATATTATTTTATAATTTTTTTATATTTTTTATATTATTTATTATATTATTTTTTTCATTTTTAAAAAAATTTAAATAAACATAAATTTAATATTTTAATGACCTCTAAAATCGACTTGTCATTGTTAAATTTTTTAAAAGAAATTTTTAAAAACGAATTTTTAATTTAAAAATTTTTTGATATAACAAAGGTTTTTTACAAGAAAAAATTACTAGAATCTATAAATCATTTATTTATGATAATGTTTGATTAAAATTAGAATAAAGTTTTAAACATAAAAAAACATTGTTATAAAAATAAATTAATATAAATTTTTTATTTTTAAACAAAATTGATAAATATTTGTATGAATGTGTGTGTATGTTCCCGATTTTATGGGATAAATTTAATTTTATACATATGTTTAGATGGAGTTTGCTAGAATTTTGTAAGTGAATTACGTCACGAATTTATATTTTATATGTTGAGGAAGCTAAATGGTCATGAAATGAACAACTTGTTTCTTTGGAGGTTGTTAATATATGTGTTATTTTTCAAATATTAATTACTTTCTTCATTTTCTTTAAGTCAACCAACAAATAAAAAATTGCACTTTGAAAATAGGAGGAGCTTATTTTTGTTGGCCAGAAGTCTTTTTTTTCTTAATGAGTTAAGACTAAATGTAACTTTTTAAAAATTAAATTTTTTCTCCCTTTTTGTACTGTTGAACCAACGAATAAAAAAATTGCTTTTTTAAAGTAGGAGGACTTAGATTCGCAGTTTAATTGATCTGAAAAGTAAATTTTCTAATTATTTTAGAAAAACGGGAAAATATTGTCTATTTTATCTTTCTTAGTATAATTGATTGTAGCATTAATTCTATTTGTTTTCTGCTTTTTTATTTTTTATATTCTACTAAATATATAATAATAATTAATTTTTATTAAAAATTAATTGTTCATGTTATTTATTTTTTACATGAAATTGTTTAAAAAATTTTTATTCAAATTTATTTTTATAAGTAAAATACTGATTTTTAGCTTTGAATAATATTTATTTAAATAAATTCATTTATTTTAATAATCGAAAAAGTATTGCTAAATTTCTAATTTTTGATCACATTGTTTTAAAAAAACGTTTTTTAAAAGTTAAAGATATGATTTATTAGTAATATCTCTTTAATCAAAGAAAGCCATTTTTTTCAATGTTTACTATATTTACACATCATTTTGAAACTTCGCGCGTTTATCCAAATCAGTTCCTTTCGTTCCGCCGTTTAGAATATGATCGTAGTGAATCGTAGTCTGCTACAAGTATCACGCATGTTACCAATACATTGACAGGTCTTACAGTTTGCATATTTATCTTAACGAGAACGATCGCGCGCTGCCGCGCGCGCGTTTTTTCTCTTGCGCAATCCTTTTTTAAATTTTTTTTAACAAAAGTACTTATAAAAGTTATAGAAAACCTTTTTATAATCAAAATAATCTATATGTTAATTAAATTTTGTAACATTTAAAATCTTCCATAGTAAATTTATATTTTAAAAAATAGTGATGAAAGAAAAACGTTACTAAATAAACAATTTTTAACTATTTTTCACTTAGCTAGCAAAAAAACATCTCCTACTGTCAAAGAAAGCCATAAACAGAGGATATTAAATTAAAAATTTACTTTTGTTTCTTAAAATCGTTCCTACTTTTGCTATAAATTTTTGTCCGAGACTGTTACTCAAGAGATATATCTTTATTTTTTTAAAGTCATCTTTTTTCTCAGTTCTTTACTTATTTTTGCTTCCTCTTATAGGAAGCCTTATAGAGATGTCGATTTCCGAATTTTTTAGAATCAATTATTTTTACAAATTTTCAAGTGTAGTATATATAATTCGTCGAGAGGAACAAATGTCCGGATGTATGTGTGTATGTATGTGTGTATATGTCACCGATTCTTGTGGACAAATTTTCTCTTACACGTCTTGACGAATTTTGATAAAATTTTGTAGGTGTATTACGGTTACGAATACAAAAAATCAGACAGAAGGATTTTCAAAAATATCAAAAAAAAAAATTTTTCAAAAATTTTTTAATTTTTAAAAAAATAAATTTTTGGATTTTTTGAAATAACTTTTTTCTATATTAAAATTTTAATTAATTCTTGTCAAAATTGCATTCCTGACATAAAAACGAATCGATTCATGTATATAAAGTATATATTTTATCAATATTTATAGAGTTAATAAATATTTTAATTTTTCTAAAAAAATTGAAAATTTGTATTTTTTGAAATTTTATCTTAATACTTTAAAATAATTATTATAAAATAAAAAATTAAACAATTGGTAGGGGAAGTGCGCCGGTTGTGGGCACCCTCCGGTTGTGGGCACCCCTACGTAAACTTCGACGGCAAGCAGACTTTACTGAACTAAGTATTGCAAGTCGTAATCGTTGACAATACGGACTTTTCGTATTGATAACGAAACAAATATATGCATTTGTGTAATAGCTGTAAGCATAATAAAGAAAATTTGCATTAAATAAATAAAAAAGTAATTTTGTATTGTTTTCGAAGAGCAACATATGGGTGTAGATTCGTTCAGAAAAAAGGGTTTAATTTTTTTTTTGCAGTGTTGTCATTATATTTTGTGATTTACCTTCGTGTTTAACCAAAATCCTGCATCACAAAATGTGTTGGTCTTTTTAAAAAATGACTTTCATTCCCGGTTGTGGGCACCTTTATGTTAAGGAAGCTCTACCATCTGACAATGATGAGGACTACTGTCTCATCTATCTAAACTTTCTGCCAAGGAAAGTGACAGCCGCAAACTCCATTAAATGCGATGAATATAGTCGTTCAGTGCATTCGAAGTGCGTTATGTTATGCGTACTAGCTACTTCACATGCAAGCATTATGCTTTTGTTAGCGATGAGCATAGTGTGAAAACGTGTCATCATTTTTGTTCTTTATCCCGGCAAATTCTCTTAAAATAAAGAAACTTTCATTTCTTCTTTATTTGTGTTGGTTTCCTTTAATATTTTTCCATTTTTAGCGGATTTTTCAAGGGTGCCCACAACCGGGTACAAAATTTTTTTTGTCAAAAAATTCCCATTTCACTAAATTTCTAATAAAACTTTTTTATTTAAAGGAATCAATTTACTTCCTTCACTGACAGTCACCTTAGACCTCTAGCTTTAAATTCGTACACATATATTTGTATAATATACACATGGAAAAATGTTATGAGGCAAAAACAAAAAGGTGCCCACAACCGGAACACTTCCCTTATATATTATATTGAGGAAGCTTTTTTATCTTCTTTCAATTATTGATAGTTAAAAGTGCCAATAAATTTTTTGGTATTTTTTTTAACTTTACGTTCTGTAGGCCTCTGAAAATAATTTACTAAATCATACTTCTATCTCAGAAAAAAAAACAAAAGAAATATTTATAAAAAAATGCATGTGAAAATAAATGGATTTATACAATATAGAATAAAGTAAAGATAATTTTAGAAATGTAAAAAGATTTATACAAGTCAAACTTACTATTTATTCTAATTAAGGAAGATTTCGACTATATCAGCAATTAGTGACATCTATTAGACGTCAATTGAACTCTTTGGTTTAGAGTCAGGTGTTATTCTTAAGATAATTATTCCGATATGGTTGTCGGTAAATAATTATATTTTTGAATTTAATTTTTGATCTGAAAAAATAAGCTGCGTGAACGACTGCACTGTGCATCTGTGAGGACTCGAACCCCAGTTAATAGCTGCCTTTCGCGGGACTAACGCCTACCAATGCACCATGCCAACACAGCCTGGACGTTCACGTTTCTTATAATCTCAGATCAAGCCCATACACTAGTCGAAGAGCTGTATAGTTAATGTAGGAAATTATTTGCTGATTGAGAATTTTAATTAAGGAAGATTTCGACTATATCAGCAATTAGTGACATCTATTAGACGTCAATTGAACTCTTTGGTTTAGAGTCAGGTGTTATTCTTAAGATAATTATTCCGATATGGTTGTCGGTAAATAATTATATTTTTGAATTTAATTTTTGATCTGAAAAAATAAGCTGCGTGAACGACTGCACTGTGCATCTGTGAGGACTCGAACCCCAGTTAATAGCTGCCTTTCGCGGGACTAACGCCTACCAATGCACCATGCCAACACAGCCTGGACGTTCACGTTTCTTATAATCTCAGATCAAGCCCATACACTAGTCGAAGAGCTGTATAGTTAATGTAGGAAATTATTTGCTATTAACTGGGGTTCGAGTCCTCACAGATGCACAGTGCAGTCGTTCACGCAGCTTATTTTTTCAGATCAAAAATTAAATTCAAAAATATAATTATTTACCGACAACCATATCGGAATAATTATCTTAAGAATAACACCTGACTCTAAACCAAAGAGTTCAATTGACGTCTAATAGATGTCACTAATTGCTGATATAGTCGAAATCTTCCTTAATTAAAATTCTCAATCAGCAAATAATTTCCTACATTAACTATACAGCTCTTCGACTAGTGTATGGGCTTGATCTGAGATTATAAGAAACGTGAACGTCCAGGCTGTGTTGGCATGGTGCATTGGTAGGCGTTAGTCCCGCGAAAGGCAGCTATTAACTGGGGTTCGAGTCCTCACAGATGCACAGTGCAGTCGTTCACGCAGCTTATTTTTTCAGATCAAAAATTAAATTCAAAAATATAATTATTTACCGACAACCATATCGGAATAATTATCTTAAGAATAACACCTGACTCTAAACCAAAGAGTTCAATTGACGTCTAATAGATGTCACTAATTGCTGATATAGTCGAAATCTTCCTTAATTAAAATTCTCAATCAGCAAATAATTTCCTACATTAACTATACAGCTCTTCGACTAGTGTATGGGCTTGATCTGAGATTATAAGAAACGTGAACGTCCAGGCTGTGTTGGCATGGTGCATTGGTAGGCGTTAGTCCCGCGAAAGGCAGCTATTAACTGGGGTTCGAGTCCTCACAGATGCACAGTGCAGTCGTTCACGCAGCTTATTTTTTCAGATCAAAAATTAAATTCAAAAATATAATTATTTACCGACAACCATATCGGAATAATTATCTTAAGAATAACACCTGACTCTAAACCAAAGAGTTCAATTGACGTCTAATAGATGTCACTAATTGCTGATATAGTCGAAATCTTCCTTAATTAAAATTCTCAATCAGCAAATAATTTCCTACACTTTACTATTTATTCAGTATGATTAATTAATATTAATAAAAAAGAAATATAAGTGTGGTTTCTGTAAATATTATACAAAAAATGTAAGTACTCCGTCATTTCGAAGAAAATAATTTATTTCAATATATGCTTTTCTATAAGATTCATGAGATGCAAAATTTCGTTAATAATCTTGAGAAATATTATCTTTAAACTTTTTTCAAAGTTTATTTAAATGAACTGGTTGGCAGTACATTAAAATACGTACAAATAAGTGTCTTAATTATCTGAAGTTTGAACTATTATTTGAAATTAGGAAATTAAAACGTCTTTGACCAATTGATAAGAAAGAAACGTGTAAAGAAATCTTACGTGTGAATCTTATTACGAAAAAATGACGTAATTTACCAATAAGAAGCGTCGAAGAAAGTCTTACGCGTAAAGACAGCCATACTGAGACACACTCCTTTTTTAAGAAAAAAAAATATATAACGACTCAGACATTTTTATAGAAAAAATATTTACTTTTATTTCAATAATTCAGTGTAAACATAATTCTTGATTAGTAAATTAGGTCTTTGATTTCCTAAATATATAATTGATGATTCCCAAGATTTAACTCGTGAAAATGCAACATATACTTGCCCATGATTAAATACATTTTTACGAAGGTCTACACCAATCTTGTCAAAATTTGTCCTTGGCTTTTATTTATTGTCATTGCGAATGCTAATTTTATAGGAAATTGCCGTCGTTTGAAAGTAAAGGATAAATATCCTCACAATACAACGTAATACGATTTATAAATACAATATCTCCAACCTTATCACCTGTTAAAATACGACAACGTAGCAGATTGTTTGATAGTTCTAATACCTGCATTCGCGTACCATTACATAAACCTTCATTAATACTAAGATTTCGAAGTAGCATGACAATACAATTGGCTCTTAATCGTAATTCATAAGGCAGGAAATTTGATGGATTTAAAGTATTCAAATACTCTGTTAAAATAGCATCATTTATACTTCCATTATCACAATTTTCGGTACTATCAACACTTGTATAAATTCGCTCACTTTTATTATCAAACAGTTCGAGTACCTTGTTGTTAATTTCATCAACATCAACATTTCGAGCAGACAATATTGCTACTTTTGCTAAATCATCGTATTTTTTATTGATAATTAATTCTCCAAATATTTTATGAATGATATCACCATTCTCTACACATTGCTCTGGTGCTAGTATATTATTATCATTATCATTTAAAGTACCATTTCCAACTGATAATAAATATTCTAAAAATTCTATTTCACCAGGTAAAATTCTCATATTTTCTGTTAATGATATTACCTTAAAATGACTCCATAATGTGCTAGATTTAATAGATAAATTAACTAATTCGCTTCTAGTAGCATTAACTTTAACAGGCAATAATTGTCTAAAATCACCACCCAAAAGCATAGTTTTTCCACCAAATGGCATATCAACATTCATAAAATCGCGTAATGTTCTATCAATTAATTCCATAGCATATCTTGGCGCCATTGGAGCTTCATCCCAAATAAAGACATCAACCTCTTTCAAAAATGTAGCTTCCTTAGACTGACTTTTAATATTTGATGTAGAATCATAGAACAATGGAACAGGCATCCCAAATGTTTTATGTACAGTTTTACCACGGGAAAGTAATATTGCGGCAATGCCTGTAAATGCCATAGTACAAACACATTTTCCTTTACTTCTTAACAAATGGTATAAAGTTGTATAAACAAAAGTTTTTCCGGATCCACCTGGTCCATCAATGTAATAACATGAAGAAGATGGTATTCTTTTATCTTGGATAACTACATTTAATACTTCATCAACAATATCCTTCTGTTTGGAATTCAGTTTCACATATTGCATTTCACCAATCTCTTTATGTTGTTGTAATGACATTTTGTTGTTCGTTTGATTTTCTGTTTCAATACTTATTTCATTTAACTGTATCACTTCAAAAAAAAATTGCGAATATTTGATCCTTCATGCAACAGAAAGTTAATTATATCATTATATGCTCTTTTATGAGCTTCATTAGATGGAGAATTTTTCTGATAATCTTCAGACATAGCCTCTTTAAACTTTTCCCAAAGTTCGTTTGGATGAACTGGATGGCAATAAATTAAAATACGCACAAATAAACGTCTTAATTGTTGTGGCATCATCCATACTTCTCCTTCTGTCAAAGCACGTTCCCATTCTTCATCATCTTCAATAAGACCTAATGCTAAACATGCACTACGAAAAGTGTCATGTACAATATTGTTGACAGTTCGCAGATGATCATAACTTGTAGCGCCTATAACTACTATTAAAAGTAATCTAAGATGAAACAGTTTTGATTGACTGGGCGAAATTGAATACATCCGTAAATGACCCTTTACGCTTCACCCATTTTAATGTATTTTCACCACGTTCTTTCTTAAAAACATAATAACATGGAATTTCTGCATATATATTTATTGTCTAGCTTGTGGATCTCGCCTATTTAAATCAAAGTATTCTAATAACATAGTCCGTTTCTGTAAAGCTTCATGTATAGCATCATCATTTGCTTCTTCACTAATGGTTACAGTATGCCGATTAATTAAATGAAAAGGTAATCGGAGAATAGAATGACTTTTACTCTGTAATGGTCTACCAAATATTCTATCACATGCTTCAACAGGACTAACATACCGAGTTTCAATAAAGTTTTTTATTTCATCATATTCTAAAGAACTTGTATTATTACTACTATCGGTAATTACTACAGCAGCATCATGTCCCTTAAAGATATATTTATACAAATATTTTACGGATTTAATACTTGAAACTACTTCTACATTAATATGACAATTAAATAACTGAAGTAATGTAGGATTGTATGGAACAACGTATTGATTATCTGTAGTTCCTCCATTTAGGCGATCGTATTGTCCTGTATTAAGGCGGCGATACGTTGCGTATCCGTTTTCATCCATTATTGTCTCAGAACAGAATTGCTTTGGGAAACCTTTCAAACATTTACTATTATTATCTTTACACCAATTTCCACATGGGCCATGAATCATATTTTTCATAACGATGTCATGAAGTATAACATTTTCTAATTGATTTGGAATTTCTGCCGAAATATATTTGTCTACAATCTCGGGTGTTGTTATTTTATAATTTTGTTTCAAAGTCACTAATAAATGCATATGCGGCAATCCACGTTTTTGATATTCAATGACATACACATAAGCAATCACTTCGCCAAATAATTGTTCCTTTACAATAGTATTAATAAGTTTATCTTTTTTATGGTAAAAACACGCGATACAATATCTGGTCTGTCAGAGGCAGTTTGGTTAGGTAATAAATTTTCCTTTATTTCACGCCAGTTTGGATTACACGTCATCGTAATAAAAAGATCAGGTTTACCAAATTTTCTCACAATAGCCATTGCATCTTGGTAATGCTGTAACATATTTCTCGGAGAACCTGTGAAAGATGATAGAAGTATTATAATTTTCCCAACTTCATTGTTCAAATCATCAGCTCTTCTTTGTAAATGATCAATTAGACCTTCGTAAGTATCTGCACGGAATTTCTTTTGATTATTTCGACAGAAATTTGTCCTATCTTTTTCAATTTTCACATAACTGTCGACAATCCATTGCTGAAATAATCTACCACCCTTTAAAAATACATTGTTGTCCCTAGAAGCCATTTTATGCCTGATGTATGCAGCTCTTGATACACGTTTATTTGTATTAGCGCAGGTCAGATTTTTGTCTTAACCTCTTGTTCCATGTGGATAAAATAAAGGATATATCCATGGCTCAACATTGGGATTCATAGAACTTATATATTGTAAACTTTTTGTATTCTTATTATATACGGTAACATATAATTCTGAAATATCACCATCAGCAGTTGTAGTAGAAATTGCTGCAACTTCATTGACACTTTGTAAATTATAACGTCTACTATCCATCCCAGGCTTTAATGAAAATAATAATTGCATCTCAGGCTCAATTTCTGCATTATTTTCAGTCATTGTTTTTTTAATTTCTTCATGCATCATACGGTAGGACTGTGCAAATAGGTTACAATCCCGAAGGGCTGTATCAATTCCATCAACAATATCTCGGTTTAATTGAACATTATTCTTACAACGAATTTCGGAAGCTTCGTTTTGATCAACAATAAATAACTGTCCAAATGAAGGAGTATCGTTTCTTTCTGCATACAAAGATGTATTCATTTGATAATAAACCTGACCATGTATTTTGAAACAATATGGTCCTGGTCGTCTATTGTTAAAATTAACTAAGTTAGCGTTGAAAGAAGCAAAACCAAATGAATTATTGTAAGGTCGTATATTATGAAGAAGATTCCCAGATAATTCGTGGGTGCCATCAAATAAATTTTGTAATATGAGTGGAGGAGCAGGTAGATCTTCAAGAATGACTTCGCCATGTTTACAACAATCATGAAATGAGTTTTTTTATTAGATACTCTTTCTGCTTGGAAATGTTTAGCATTACAATGCTCACATGAAATGTTCATCGCACCAGCAAAATGTTCTTCTATATGCGAGACTGAAATACTGTCAGAGAAATTTTGATTCTGTGCAGAAGCCCGTTTTTTTGGCGATGAGTTTTTCGATAAGCTACATTTTTTTGACGACCGGAAATATTAGTATTTGATAAATTTGCTGTAACAGTTACATTATTATCTTTTGCCAAAGATGTAGTAACAGATGTAGAGGATTTTTCATAATTATATTTGATTTTGACACTGTAATATTACTGTCCTTTGTTTAAAGTGATTGAGGGTTGAGAATTCTATTATTCTCTTGTTTTTTTTGTCGAAACTTTCTTTGATAAGCAGCTTTCTTTTGACGTTTCATGACTTGATGTTGTTCTCCTTCCTCTAAAGAACGTATTATTGATCTTTTTTTTACTTGATTTTCATTTTTTAAATTAGTATATTTTGTAACATTTCTTGAATCATTACAATCATCATTAGTTTTTGATTTTATAAATAATTCACTGTTAACTTTATGTTCACAAAGTTTTACATAAGAATGATCACGTGTAATGTTCATTTCATTACAATAACCTATCTCTATATGTGACTTAGAAATAATATCAGACTGATTTTGTTTTTGAACAGAAGTATGTTAATTTTGTCGAGAGGTGCGCTTGTAAGCAACATTTCTGTCACGAATTGACATTTTAACTTTAGAAGTAGAAATATTTTCTTCTGCTGATGATAAAGCTGTAGATGTGCTTTGGGGCCTCGTATTTAAAGTTTGCTCTGCACTAATGAATTCATTCTTTTTTCTTCTTGCTTCTCAGTTATTATTAATCTTGTATCTTTCATTCCATTGCTTGAATCAATAGAAATATTATTAACATCATTTGCAGGAATTAAGGTTATGTCCAAGTTGTGAAATGTAAACAAACCAAAAGGTTACTATACCACCACTAAAATCGACATTTTGCGACAGCCAATTCTCCCACAAAAAATAACATTTTTACACTTTCTTTACGAAAATGGAAAATTAGAGTATCAAAGTTTCCAAAAAAATCATTTTTGACTATGAGCAATAAAAAGCAATTAGTAAAATAACTAATTAAAATGACCTGTAAAACAGCATTTTTGACGCGTCGCGAAAAATAAACTGTTTGAGTATATCAACCGCACGGATGATGAAGAAGTTCCATGTCAGCGATTGGACCTTCAACATGTGGAAGGGTAAATTTTTCCCTTTCCTCCTTGAAATTACAAGAGAAAGGGTAAAAACTTCTTCATCGTCCGTGCGGTTGATATAGTCAAACAGTTTAATTTTTCGCGACGTGAACTCTGTTGCTCGCTGCGCGTGCGCAGACCGTACCAAGGTCGCAATGACATCACCATGAAAAAAGGCATATTTTGTTTTTGACTGAAACTCAGTGGATTTCTCATTTTTTTAGTTATTTAAAGTTTAGTAACCAAATTCGATACTTTAGTTCACCATTTCCATAAAGAAAATGTGAATTTATATTTATTTACGCTAATGGGAGCGGCGAAAAAATGCTTCATTATAGACCGAATAGTGAAGCATTTTTTCGCCGTTCCCATTTGCGTAAATCAATATAAATTCACATTTTCTTTATGGAAATGGCGAACTAAAGTATCGAATTTGGTTACTAAACTTCTCAATAATTTTTCGAATTCATCAATATGAGTATCATTTAACATTCCTCCTTCAGTAAGTATAATATTAAAATCTGTAACACTTAAATTAACAGTTTCTTTTTTGTCCGACATGATTTCTTTCAATTTATTGAAGAGATATCGCTTCTAAAAAATAGTTTTTCATAAAATTAATTAATTCAGAACACATGTAAATAATGTTACTATTGTCACATTTAACAGTAACTGAAATTTTTATCTTATCCTTTCTTATTGAAGATTATTAAGAATGTAAAGAATGTATCTTCATCTATTAATATTATTAATATTATTAAATATAAGTATATTTTTGGTAAGTTTTTCTGTTTTGTATCTGTTTATATTTCTTATTTTTTTATCTTTTATTCTAGTATCTGTTAATCTAGTAGCTCTTGGCTAAATCTCTGTTTACCAAGTATTTGGTATCTCGTAATCACATGTTATCAATAGTACTTATCTTTAATTTTTATATATTTTATCAACAATAAATATATGCGTATTTTTTGTAAGCTTTTCTGTTTTATATCTGTTTAGTATCTGTTAATCTAGTATCTGTTAATCTAGTACCTCTTGACTAAATCTCTGTTTTTCTAGTATCTGGTATCTCGTAATCACATGTTATTTTTAGTACTTATCTTTAATATTTATAAACTCTTTTTCCAAATAATAAATAATAACTAACTAACTACCAAAATGTTGAAAAATCAATAATTAAGATTAAGAAAACAAATATAAATCAATATTAAATCACAATTATTACCACTATAATATAATTATGTAATATACAAACATCAGAATTTAAAAAAATCAATTAATATTCTACATTCAGAAATCAAAATAACAGGCAAATGTCCTTTATTCCTTTAAACTTTAATTTAATTAAATTAATGTCTTTAACTTTAATTAAATTTATAATTAATTAATTAATAAATCAAATAATTCACATTATATTTACAAACTCCTCCTAATAAATATACAAATAATATTAACAAAAAATATAATTAGTATTTACATGTCTTTTAATACTTACGTACGTAACGTATGTAATGTACTTTAACTTTTTTTAATATACAAAAAACAAAACCACAAAATTCACAATCAACACTTTCAGAAGAAAAATCACTCAGTAAATAACACAGGCCGACAAGATTTACTTTCCAAGAATCAGATAATACTTTTCCGAAGGTTTTCGACGTGCTGAATCCGAATTCGGCCTTAAAATAGACCCATCACGTCAGGTTTTCGAGATATTTTAACCTAAAAGTGCAAAAAACCTGTTTTTAGTCATATTTGATGTCATGTAACATCAAGAGATAATTTTTTCATTTAAAAAGTCAATATTGCGTCTAAAAGTGCTACTCTTCCCCTTTAATATCCATTTTGAAAATTTAAAAAATCTTTATTTGTCTCTGAGTAATCGTTCATTGAATTTTTTGAGTTTGGCGAATTCTTCAAAAACTAAGTAGAAACAGACAAAACTTCGATAATAAAGCAGATTTTAACTACAAACATCTAAATTTTAAATAGTTCTGAGGATTTTCGATATAACTGAATACGAATTCGATATTAGATTCACAAAATTCAAAATGGCGTATACAATATGGCAGACGATTTATTTCAAATTGATTGTATTTTCCTCAAATATGCCATTTTGAATTCTGTTAATCTGATATCGAATTTGTATTCAGTTATATCGAAAATCCTTAGAACTATTTAAAATTTAGATGTTTGTAGTTAAAATCTGCTTTATTATCGAAGTTTTGTGTTTCTACTTAGTTTTCGAAGAATTCGCCAAACTCAAAAAAT